CAATCGTCGTATAATATAAATTAATACTAGATTAAAATAAATTGAAGAAATAAACCAAATAAATTGAAGAAATAAATTGAAGAAATAAACCAACGAACATCCGCGTACGAGCTCGATGAATGTTAAAGCGAGAATTTCAAATTTTCTAAGAAAGTCAAAACATAATTATTTCTATGTCTTTTGCTCAATAGGTTATCAAATCACTATTATACGATCATGGGCATTATTTCCCACCCTTAAAAATCTATGACACAGGAAATAACAACACAATTACCTCCCCTGTTTTGCTATTGACAACATGGGGCAGCCATTTTCCAACTTTGGAATTTGAAGTTAAAAATGATATTTTTCCAATTTCTCTGCTGGCAATAGCGAATTATAGGATTAATAGGATTATTCTTTAACAAGGTAGGACTGTTTATGGATACCATCTATTTTAAGGCTTTATTTTAATACATTTTAAAAATATAACTTGAAAATTTGCAATTGCAAATTTAAGGGGCAGAACCTGAAATGTCCGGAAAAAATTCACTTTACCCGTCTGCCCGAAAAGTTTGCTCGAAAGTTAGGTACTGCCCACTCCCTCTACCTTGACTCGTACGCCTATGCCAACGAATAAATTATATAAAATGGATACACACATAACTTTATCATCATTAGTAACGTTTATAAGAAATATCAGGAACTTTGTGATACCTTTATCCTAGTTGTAAAGAGTATCTGGAACTCTGTGATACTTTTACCCAAGTTGCAAAAACTACCAGGAACTCTGTGATACCTTTATCCTAGTTCAAACCCCCGATCCGACTCCTTGACGCGTACCAGCATTGGATCGAAACCACTCCACTAACTAATTAGTGAGTGCAGGGAGACTGCGCCACACACAATTACATACGACAAGCCTACGGACAGGACACAGCATACACAGACACCTCAAACAACAAACGCACATTGTTAGGCCAAATAAACCCAAACTCAAGCCTAGTCGTAATCGTCCACTGCGCTGTAATGTCCCGGGTCTGTAGTGATAGAGGTTTCACTATTACAGACCTTATGATCTAAAGTGCACGCAATAGACCCACGCAGTCTACGGATATTATTTACTTGATTTGTTGTCCTGAAAGCGCTAGGGCGCTGGCTAAGTAAACCAGGACAGTATAGTCGTCCATATGGCACGAAAACCCCAGGTTCCATTTACACATTGTCGTGCACGTAAAAGAACCCCTGCCAGGTGGAATTCAATTGCTGTCAGGGCAGGCACATTTCCCCAATAGCCCACTGTATAACTTCTTAAGGAACAAATATGGATACACCATTATTGAGTTTAATACTAAGCGACGTTTCGACGAGGGGTCTCGTCTTTATCACGCGAATGATACAAACATGTAAATAGCAGACAAATATACATAATATGCAACAGAAATAACACCAACACTGTCGTTTAAAGGGTGGAAAAATCCTATTGACTTATAAAGATCAATGTATTTAACACTATTAGTGGGAAACTAATTAACCCGAGTCATATATAGACAATAATTAAAAGAGAACGTATAAAGGGGGGGGGGGGTCGGTATCCATGTTGTCGACGTTGACATCATTAACCAGTTGGGTGGAGTAACTGTTATTATTGATGAATACGTTCTTTAAATGCTCTAATTTAGCGGATTGGAGCTGACATGCTTTAAAACTCCATTTTATTCATTCATCTTACCTCCCCGGGAAAAAACACAAGTCTTTTCATGAAAAAGAAAATCGTGAATTTTGAGAAGCATCTTGGTTTTTTTTTTTTAAAAAGATACTTTTCACCCATGCAGTGCCTCATAAGTACCTTCATAGCACAATGTATGGTGCATGGAGTGGGCCGGAATGATACCACTGGGGATACCCAGAATGGGTGTATGTCCGTCTTGATTAGCCCCATTGATGCAAGAAAGAAGGGTGTTTAAACCCCATTTTATTTCGCTTATTTCCAGCTGACCCGGTCATTCCATCTACTTGCCAAATGTATTTACTATTTTCATTTTCTGCGATAGCCCGTCAACTGTAGGCGGACGCAAGGTAAAGTTATTTCCCACACACGGATGATTGAACCTATTTAAGCTCTGGTCACAGTCAACTGGTGATTGATTGTTGGACTCGTTTTAACGCTTGATTGATTTAGCGTGATATACCTCTAAATATCTCATGGCGTCATGCATCGATTCACTAACCGTAAATTACCACGTAAAAAATGAAACGGACTAATTGGCCCTTTTGTGGCTGCGATATCACTACTTGGAAACGGACGTAAATCCCTGGTAACAGTGGCTGAGCGGTCAGAAATTAAAATCGATGATTTAAACTGAGTTGTCTCAGTGTTGAAAGCCGTCCTTAGTAGCAGGCAGTGTTATAATGGGTTCGTCACTTAGCTCTGAAAACGCCGCCGTTAAAATCTACGTCTGTACTGGAGACAAGAAAAACGCAGGAACTGATGCCAATGTGACAATAATTCTACATGACGAAGCTGGGAATTTCACGGAGAAAATAGTTCTGGATAGATTCTTCAGAAATGATTTTGAAAGGGGTCAACATGATATGTTTAAAGTTTCCCGGTCTAAATTAGGACCTGTGGTCGGTAAAGTTGTTAAAATAGAGTTATGGCGAGATGATGCTGGTCTGGCAAGTGACTGGTTTGTGGATAAGATAATAGTCGAGAATACCAAGACGAAAGACAAATCAGTGTTTCCTATCTTACGATGGATTAAAGCCGGTTGTACATACTCAATCTCAGAACACGACACGTCGTTGCCACAGTCTGACGACCACCGCGTCCAGAGAAAACTAGAATTGAAAGATAAAAAAAATTATTATGATTATGAACAGAAAGCGGATGGAATACCTGTTCAGGTAGGTTAAAGATAATTAAAATCTCTTTTGAGTATAAAAAACTATAAACTGCTTGATTTTTTCATTTAAACTACTACTTGTGTAGCGAGTGCGCCAAAAATATAAAGAGTCTGGCAAATTAAATGGGGTTTAGCGTACTACTTTTTGCACCGACTGGGCTAATGAAGACGGACATAAATATACTCCACGCATTGTGCTATGAGGGAAATTTTGCCCGGACAGCGCGCTAAGGCCTACTCTTTTTTCAAATTCCAACTGTTAAGGGTTACGTTTACGTGCACACCAATGTGTACACGGAATCTCGGATTTACGTCCCATCCAAACGACTATATGTTGTCCCTTGCTGTGTCCCCATCCTGCACCACTGACAAGAGAAATTCCTGATGAACTTTCTAGGCCAACACCGGGATCGAACAACGGACCTCCAGGTTAGCGAGTCAACGTTTTACTTCATGAACACCGACCGTTGAATATTAAAACGCCCATTTTATATATATATATATATATATATTGTATAATATATGTGAGATCTAGATTGCTAAATTAACTTTAAGAACAAAGCTTTGGGACTGATATAAAACAAAGCTTAATGATTTAATGGATGACATTGGGTCATGAATTATTTATGTGCAGTAATTCTAGTTTAGAATTTCAATTCCTCAAAGTCTAGTGTTCTTTTGAAAACAAAAAGATAGCAAGATTAACAGTGAAAGATAGACGTTTTAGATTTTATAAATTGGACTTATCTTGTCATTCTTCGTCCAAGTGTCCCGTTTCAAACGAGATGGAAATAAAATGAATTGTGTTTTCGTCGTCCAATATCTTTGCTAATGAAGACGGGATAACGGGATAGAAATGGGGTTTGACTTCCACTAAACACGAACTAGAGATCATTTCGAGACTAATATACTATATACATTTGCGCAGAGAGGTCTCTTATCAGAGGATCGTGGGGCTGAATGGTTTAACGTGTGCGCGTTAGATCACAAGGTCTTTCATTGAGTCAAGTGGCGTGGTTTCGATTTTCTGCTTGTACGTGAAAAGAAGTCGAATCGCCTGTCCAACTCGGTGAGGTTTTTCCGGGTGCCCCGGTTTCCCCGCACAGCTATGCCTATAGACCCTTACTCACAAGCGAATTAATAAAAATACATTTGAAATGACCTAGTTTGTGACCCTTAGCATATATATCCCATTTTGGCAGAATTTAATTCTGCCGGGCCTGTTTAGACAAGGTGATTAGAAAGATGCGCATCAAAAGATGTTTTTAACACTTATAGGTGGCGCTGGTTTTTGCTAATCATATCCTATTAATAACGTCTACAGTGAATACCGAATGACGACATATCTTTAATTCACAATATCTTTGTTAATACCGAACAGAATCATTTTCTGACTGATATTCTTTTTAGAGATTCTTCTTTCACGATATTGTACTACCAGGAGATTAAAAATCTATCGAACGACAATCAAAGACTTGTTCGACACCAGGCCAATAATTTCTTATTTGTGTATTTGATACATTTAAACAACAAAAGTTTTATAAGGGGCTATATTTTAGTTAAAATAAGGCGAAAAATTTTGAATGGATTCTTAACTTAAGCCTAAGAATACTTTGTGAACGCGGAGCCAGTATTATAATTATAAAATATTTGTTTTTGTTTTGAGTGAACCCTCTATCACCCGGGCACAGTGGACGCTCACGCCGATCGTAGTGCTGTATTATGTGGGTTGTAGATTATTCCAACATTACCGACGATATCCCAGAATGAATAATTAAAATTGAATAGAACACGTTTAACCCCCAGATCCATTTAGCTGGTCTGATAATATGCGTGTTTGTTGTTTGCGGTGACTGTATATTGTGTCTCGTCCGAAGGTTTGCCACTTTGTCTTGCCCCCCCCCCTCCTCCAGTCCCCTGCACTTGCTATTTAATAATACAAATGGACTGATACCCCTTTCAGAGATTCAACTCTTACAATATTTTAGTTTGAACGGAATTCAAAATCCTAAAAATGATTTCTAGAGACTTAAATAACACAGATGTACACGAACGACGCGTTGTCTTCTTACGGCTGGTTGATTGTTCTACAGTCATATCATATCATAATACAGATCTATATACACGAAAAACACGTATAGATCTTAGATCCCGTATATTGACACGGCTGACTGATTGTTCTACATCCTGCACTCATACAATATCATAATATAGATGGACAGTGAAGACGCGTATCGTGCATTTTTTATGTTTTCTCATTGCTGGTTGATTGTGCTACTACGCCCACAGTAATATGATATTTATGTGTAGCCTAGGTTATCCTATATCTAGTAGGTAGTTGGCATTTGTGTTTGTCACGCTTCACTGCCTTCAAAATACGCTTCAACATTTTAGACAAAATGATGGACGATTTCTTTATACATGTGGCCACCGGAGATAAGAAAAATGCCGGCACAGACGCTAATGTGGCGATCATTCTTCACGATGAAAATGGCAACTCTACACAGCAGATCATCTTGGATAACTTCTTCAAGAATGATTTTGAAAGAGGACATTTGAACGTGTTTAGAGTCGCCCGTTCGAAACTAGGTTCAATAGGTGAAGTGGGCAAGATTGAGTTATGGCGAGATAATGCTGGTTTTGGCAGTGATTGGTATGTGGATAAAATAATTGTGGAGAACGCCAAGACGAAGGAACAATCCGTGTTTCCTATATTACGTTGGATTAAAGCTGGATTCCACTATAAGATTAAACATTTAGACACGTCCTTGCCACAATATGACAGACATTGCGAACAGAGGAAGATGGAATTAGAGGATAAAAAGAAATTTTATCAGTTTGAATCCAAATTACCAGGGTTACCTGTTCAGGTAGATGTATGGCTTGTATCATTATTTGGGTGCCACTGGTGGCTCAGTGATTAAGGCGCTGGCTCAGGTACTAACAAGTGGGGTTGGAACCCGGTGCTGGCCGAGTAAAGGCCCCCCGGGGCTTTCTAGCGTGATTTCTCTTTGTCATTGGTACAGGGCGGAGGACATGACAAGGAACAGGGTCCAAAAACCAAGGTTTCAGGTTGGCTTGCACGTCTAAGAACCTTTAACAGTTAAAATCCAATTGCTATCCTGGCAAAATTCTCCTCATAAAACACTGTATGCCGTATGTCCGTCTTCATTAGCTAGATTGGACGTTCCCCCTCATTCGTTCGTTTATTCGCCCCTTCCTTCGTTCGTTTGTTCCTTCGTTCGTTCCTTCGATCACATGATCACAAACGCTTATGATTTGATGTATACCAGTATGAAGAAGTAAAAGCGGGTTATTCTATTTAAACAACACTCATTGTTATTTTGTTTACATTTAGAGAACGTTATAAAACGGCTATTATTATACTGGGCAAAATTTATGGAATGCTCATTTGTAGTAACTTTATATTGTATGTATACTGTTTTGTTATGTCTAGACGTAATAAACAAGACTTCCTTCTTTAGTACGTTAGTGTAGTGTATGGGGAAGCCGCGCTGACTCAGTGATTATTAGGTTACGCCTCGTTAACCTAGAGGTTCCGTCTTCGATCCCGGTGTTGGCCGAGAAAGTTGTCTCACTTGTCAATTATGTAGCAAGGAGGGCCTGGCAAGGGACACTGTATAGTCGTTCGGATGGCACGAAAATCCAAGGTACCGTGTGCACATGGGCGTGCATGTAAAAGAACCCTTGACAATTGGAATTCGAAATAAGAGTAGGCCACAGTTCCACGAAAGGTGCTCTGTTTAATATATTGGAATCGATAAACAAATGGGTGACGGGTATAGATGAAGGCTAATTAGGTACGTAGCATTATTCTTCCACTATTTATTTGTGGAAGTGTGTTACTGCTGCCCAATAATCTGGTGCACAGATTAGTTCAATTATTTAAAACAAGGTTGACGAAAACCGTTGCTCAAATGAAATACTCACCCAAATATGGCAATAGAAGACGTATCTATAGGCCTACGTTTTATATAAATTAAAGAGAGCGATTAAATTTGCTTCAGAAATCATTTGGCATTCTTAGAAGGACGTTCCCACAGCCTCCTCGGCGTATTGGCCGGAATACAGACACCATGTGGAGTCCCTATGCGGATGTACCCATAGCCTCTGGCTAGAGGCTGGAGTAAGACGTCATGTAGATTTAAGAAGAAGCGTGTGGCGTTGGTCACAGAACACACGCTAAGTGATGGGGAACTTATATTCAGCTTATATTTAATGTCGTCGCTGTGCATGTAGTTTCCAGTACATGTATATAACCTTTGTATTATGGATGTTATAATGATATATAAACATAGTTATAATAACACAGTGTTCCAGAGTTAATTGATCTATTTAAAAAAAAGGGTACACAACGTGGAAATCCTGATTGGATAAGTGTCACCTTTGTGTCACGGCGTATGCTCGTCATCGTTAGCCCAGTCGGAGCAGAACAGTAGCGAGAGAGATGGGGTTTAACGTCAACTCGACACAAACTAGGTCATTTAGGGACAAAAATTAACGTCAATTTTGTTTTAATAATTCGCTTGTGCGTAGGTCTTTAGCAATGGGGGGAAACTGGAAAACTCGGAGAAAAAGGGGAATCGAAACCACGCCACTTGACCCAGTAACAGACGGTGACAGACCTAATTATAGAAAGTCCACCCGTTAAACCATTGAGCTTCCCAACCCCAATCCATTATATGGAACTGTTCATTGTTGAAGGTCCATGTCGAGAAGGTGTATCGTATTACGACATTTTTATTTGAATAACATGTTGTATGAAATACAGATATTAAATTAATAGTTTATAGTTCATACTTATATTATACACTGGCTGTATATATTATAGAATTATTAGGGCATAATTGCTATGGAACCCATACTTTACACTATCTGTATAGAATTATTACTTTATAGTTGCTATGGAATCCATACTTTACATTATCTGTATATATTATAGAATTATTACTTTATAGTTGCTATGGAATCCAAATTTTACGTTTGGTTTATATATTATAGAATTATAAAATATATTATTAAATGATTGTTATGCACTGATTAACACCGCGTAGTCACAGAATCTAACTTCATGTATGACCGCGTTTTTTTATTTCTTTTTCATAAACCAAGGTCGCATTTATAAAACTCATTTTAAAGAAAAGAACTAATGAAATAATCTCCATTTATTTTCAGATCAAGATTCTACCCGACGACGAGTTGTTTTCCTTCGATTACTTGGTAAGCTTCAATAATTTTCATATCAGTTATATAAATTGTTAATAAGCCGTCCATTGAAACTGTGTCTAACAGAGCGTGTCGAAGTGAAGTCAACTGTAAGATTGTCCAGCTACTTCACAACTAACAAAGGCTTAAGTTTGTGTTGTATGGGTAGAGGTTAACGCCCGCTTCCACCTGGGGTGATATTGCAGACAAATTTTGGCTAGGAAGATTGCGAGGAGAGCCAGTCGCAAGCAAGAGGCTCGTCCCGATTTAGGCTGGCTCTTTAATAATTTTATTAGGAAAACCACGTGACCTTAACCTTAATATTTTTGCTGGAAAAAGTAAACATATATAATACAGCACCCAATGACCCATATTGGTAAGCATGGGACAAAAAAACGGAGGTCCCGTAAACACGTTGGTGTGCAAGGGAAAGACCTTCCCGCAGTCCAGGCGACATTAGGACACGACAGAAAGAAATGGAATTTAATGCACGTGACACAAACTAGCTCTTTTCGGGACTAACATATCGTACGGTTTTATTTTTTCGATGATTCGTTGGGGCCTTTTGTAGCATAGGGAGGAAATTGTCGATGTGGGGGGCGGGGGTGGGGTTGGCAGACGCGCGTACGCGTAGGGTGGATGGGCAATAAGTTTGTGGCATTATCTAGTATGTTTTATCTTCATTGGAGTTTATAAATTAATAATACTGCTACTCATAGGCGTACGGGAAAATTTTTGCCTGGGGGGGGGGGGGGGCGGTGGTGGTTGGTGCCCAAAAAATGTAGTTAGGTTCTTAGTATGTTACATAATAATAATAAAGTCGCTGTTAATTTGGACACATTCTAGAACACAATATTTTTTTATACAACTTTTACAAAGTACAATTGTGTGCCCAAATTTTCCCAGCATTTGGTGCCCAAAATGCCCCCCCCCCCCAAGCTTGTACGCCTATGCTACTGTAAGTATATCCTGATAGATAAACCTGATATCCATCCAGACAAAGGTCAATTGCTACATTAAGAGAGGTTGGATAATAATTTAAATATCTGCAACGGATACGCTATAACCTGTCATTAGCATGACTAACAAGTTGACATACGTGGGTATAATTTATTTAAATCAACTACAGCCCTCAGCGATTCTTTTTTACATACTTTGAATTAATCCCCTCAGGGTATATGACCTAGCGTAGTTAATTTGGGAGAGTTTATTTTAGTTTGATTGGGGTGGTTTGAAATTCCCACGCGGCGGGACTTGGGATAGGGGCGGGGAACCATAACACTAAATCTAACCATATCCCTAACCCAGAAACATCCTAGATTATGGTAAATAGAAATGTTTGTCTATTTTGTTTCCATCACTCGTAGTCAATTGAACGTAATTAAGTAGGGATAGCGTAGATTAAACAGCCTAATCTTTACACACGACTGTACGGAAAATTACTTTCATATCTCAAAATTAGAGAACCATCTACATACATCCATTAGTTTGAAATGTTGCGCTGTATAAATGCTAGAATTCTCGTTGTTGTTGTTCTTACATGGTTTCCAAGAGGGATTTATTCAGGGGTGTTGGCACCCTTTCATATTCATTTAAGTGATATTCAAATTTGTGTGCATCCCACCCCCTCTCTCCCCAACTCACTAGATTATCGGAAATGCTGCACATATATTTTAAACGTCTATTTAATGTTTTTAGTAGGATATAACATGCTTTAAAAACTGGGGCCTGTTTCACGAAATTTTAACTAAGATAAAATCCAAATTTTAGTAATTTGATTGGATAATTATTAGATTGATTTTAGTGCTTAGCCAATCAAAATTGAAGTATCTACTAAAATTTGGATATTATCTTTAGCTAAAATTTCGAGAAACAGGGCCCAGGACTATAAATCAATAATAGTATTGTTAATTTAATGACTTTTTGTTGTTTTTTTTTCAGTGGGATATAACAACTACTAAAGTGAAACTATTAGCTTCTGGGAAATACGCAAATTGGACCACAGAAAAATGGGAGAGTATGGAACATTTGAAAAATATCTACAAACAGGGAACTTTTCCTTTACCCGAGGTAAAAAAAAACCAAAAACAACCAATGGCGATATATTTGATTAGAATGATACCCACGCAAGACCATAAAAGATTTAAATTATTGAGCCCCGGATATTCCAAACTAAAAGGCTTGTTGAGAGAGAGAGAGAGAGAGTTAAACGCCCACCCGACATAAACCCGATACAATTTTATTTCAAATTTCAAAACTTTGCTTTCGAGTGAGAGTCTTAAGCTGTGGGATGAAACCGGAGGAACCAAGACACTTCACTTAATGACAACCATTATGCTATAAGCGGACGCATTAAACCCTTTACCTTTTGAAATAAATATTCGCCCCTCCCCACCTCATCCGTTGTTTTCTTCCAACAGTACAGGTATATTTTCATCAATGTCGACCACAACTAGGACTTATGCTGTTTTTTATTTCATACTTTTCCAGGAACCTTATGGATGGAAAGATGATCTGTATTTTGGTCGTCAAAGACTTGCAAATGCTAATACCATTCTCATAAAACTGTGTACTGCCATTCCAGAAAAGTAATATATATTTGTTTATTCCCTGCCTTTATATCACCGAGACAGTACGTACCCCATATAACCATGTTATATCTATATAGTCACCGAGGTAGTACGTACAATATATTCCTAAACCATGTTATATCTATATAGTAACCGAGACAGTACGTACACCATACATTCCTAAACCTTGTTAAATCTATATAATCACCGAGACAGTACGTACACCAGATATTCCTAAACCTTGTTAAATCTACATAATCACCGAGACATTACGTACACCATATTATTACTAACCCATGCAAACCCATGTTATATCTATATAAGCACCGAGACGTTACGTACCTTAGTCATTCATTACCCATTGATACGTATAATAGTATGGATGGTCAGGGAATCTTGAGTACAGACTAAAATGTATTATGATATATTTGATAGGTTAGCTGTGACCGAGTCTATTCTAGAGCCTATGTTGGAGGGTAACAAGCTACAAGATTTGTTAAAAGACAAGAGGATATATATTTGTGATTTAGAGATATTAGATGGAATCAAATGTCTCGACGGTATAACGGTACGTTGTATTTTATTTACAATTTCAAACAGTAGATGTTTATCCTTGGCATCCCCAGTGACCTCATCCGTTAGTGAGGTGGAACGGAATGAGACCGCTGTGGATGGTAGATGTTCTATTTTGTTTTTCTTTCACTAAAAGTAGCATGCATTGTCGACAATTACACACTTTCGTTAAGAGACACACACCAGCTACCGGTAAAGAAACACACCCACTACCGTTTATAACACCCACTGCTGTTAAAGACTTGTGTGTGTGTGTGTGTGTGTGTGTGTTAGTTGTATTTTACGTCAGCTTCCACCGAGGTGATATCGCAGCTAGACGCTAATCTTATGTATCGTTCCAATTTTAGTATACATGTATGTACTACAGCTATTAAATACACTCCACCACTGTCGTTAAAGACACCCACCTACACTGTCATTCAACATTTTTGTAGCGGCTTGTCATAATTGTGCCTATCATTACAGATAAGAATATAATTATGTTATTTTGATATTTTACAGCTCTGTGCGCCTGTTGCTTTGTTTATGGTTGACAATAACAAAGAATTACGCCCTATTGCTATCCAGTTGTATCAGAAGCCAGGAGCAGATAATCCGGTAAATATTTTCATTTTATATATTTGTCAACAAGCTGAAGAACTATGTTCGGAATCGGTCATAATTCAGTTTGTAATTTGACCCGGGTTATGGACGTATGGTTATCATGATTTACCCAATCCCAAAATCGCAGAGCATAAAAACGTTACCATACGTGATACGAAACGTTGTTATTAAAAAATAGAGAAGTATTGATAGTTGTTTTATTAAATAACCGAGAAGTTGTTATTTATATATACCATGTGTTATTAAATAACCGAGAAGTAGTTATTTCTATATATCATGTGTTATTAAATAACAGAGAAGTAGTGCTACCTGTATACCCTGTGTTAATAAATAACACAGAAGTAGTGCTACCTGTATACCCTGTGTTAATAAATAACAGAGAAGTATATCCATATATACTTTGTATTTTGTCGCGAATATTTAACCATACTTCTAGATGTCATCACTTGTCCATCCACTTGAGTTTCCCCCCCCCCTCATTGTTAAAGACCCCTATGCGAAAGCGAATTCCAAATTTCCTTTTTTGTGGACGTTACCGCCACCCTCTCCCTGACATCTAAAGGAAAAGCAACAGTTCAACTGTAATATTCTACGTCATCTTCCAGTGTCATGATACTATCTATTGATGTTTCTCTGCTCCACTACATGTAATACAGCCCTGGCAAATTACTGTTTCAAGTTTTACCATACTGGGGAGTTGGTTGGCCGAATGGTTAGCACGTATTCGCTGTATCATAAGGTCTGTCATTGAGTCAACTGTCGTGGTTTCGATTCCGTGGTTGTACGTGACAAGGAGTAGGGTCGCCTATCCAACCTCGTGGGTTTCCTCGGGTTCTCCGGGTCCCTCCCACTGCTAAAGACCCCTACGCGCAAGCGAATTATTGAAATAAAATTGAACCATATGTTAGTCCCGAAATGACCTCCATCCTCTATCCAACCCCCCGATTTAGATAAAGAGCTGACCGTTCTTGCTATAATAGTAGTTAAAAAATAGATAATGCAAAATGAATATATTTCATTCAAATTACTTTATTCTGAGCGAAGGTATCAATGTTTGTAGTTTTGACAAGGTGTTTTTATTAGTGTAACCACGCTACTGGTTATTCGAGGCTTAGCCTCGCTCCTCCATTTTTAAATTAAATCATTAACTGACCGAACCGTTCTAATCTAATTAATAATTTATATAACATTTAAGGCCTAAAGAAAGGCATGCAATAGGTAGATTTAGCTTTTGAATAATGTATTTTTAAGGCACCGCTCCTATTGAATTAAAATGCTTGACTATGTTACGTTGACTCCTGGATACCAGTCAATGAAATTAAATTGTAATTTGAAGTGAATGGGGAAACGAAATGGTTTTTATAATTAAAACAGATCTGAGGGAATTAGAATTTATTAGGAATCGTTATACTGTATGACGATGGGTTTTTTAAAATATTTTTCAGGTATTTTTACCAACAGATCATCCTTATACGTGGATTGTAGCTAAAATGTGGTATAATAATGCTGATGCCGCTTACCATCAATCACTAACACATCTTGGTAAGTATCCCAAATTCAGGCCAGTTGGGGTGTGGGTGTGGGTGTGGGGGTGGGTGGGGAGGTGGCCAGTCCGGATAGGGAGTCGATCAGGCCTGGGGGGACGATAAGGTCGGTTGGGTAGTAGATCAGGTCGGTTGGGTAGTAGATCAGACCGCTTTGGGTAGTAGATCAGACCGGTTAGTAGTAGATCAGACCAGTTAGTAGTAGACCAGACCTGTTAGTAGTAGATCAGGCCGGTTGGGGAGACGTGAGGCAGGTTGGATAGTAGACCAGACTGGTTGGGTAGTATATCAGACAGGTTTGCGGAGACCGTCAGGCCGGTTCGATTGTAGATTAGTTCATTTCCATGCGGAAAATACACCCATCTGAAATTCTTGATTGGGGATAAGGTTACAGAGGTCCAACGGTGTATGAGAATTACCGAACTCCCTCAACCGGCTTCTAAGTATTCCCTCCTTAGTATCGGCGAATCTTAATTGATAAATGAACCAAGCGAGATAACTCTCAGATACCCATAATATTTGTGACTGGCTCGCTCACAGTACGTCAAAATGGTTTTTAACCCGTGTTGAAACCTGTTTGTATCGGCATACCCCGTATCTTTTCATGGTTAATTGTGGAACAAAGTAATACAGCTTTACAGTTGTATTTTCGGAAATATTTATAATTTGTTTGAACCTCAAAGTACGTATTTTTTAGTCTCTTCTAATTCTTTAGAATAATGTAAACTTGTTATTTTTCCAGCGTTTACACATCTTGCCATGGAAGGTGTATCAGTTGCAACTCACAGAAATTTATCTCAATCTCACCCAGTCTTCAAAATATTAGCTCCACATTTTCTGTATTTGTTGGCGATCAACACGTAAGTATTTATACGTCGCCCCCATTCGTCAGTGGCGCCCGCTCCCGATCAACGGACTTAAAACATTCAGAAATTATTAATGTATATCTGTTGTCAACGCTACTCTCATAGCATACTCCTCGTAGTGTTTCGTTTGATTAGACCTAATCTCACATAAACACTGCTGTAATGAAAGCAAATTTCTGTTCCAATTTATGACTGGTCAATAGTCCGATTAACAACCAATACCTAACTGTGAAACAATATCATTCGGGTTTAAACCGAGCTCCAGGTATGTTTACATAACTTTACGTCATGACTCACGACATTTAATACCAGTGAATAGCAGAATATTGCAGAAAAACTATTTGCGTGACAAACGAGGTTATCAAAACGGCTACAATGTAAACAATACTAATTGGAGACGACCAATACTTTCACCATTTTTAATGCCTTAAATCACTGTATAGAGTTTTAAGGACGACCCGTGATTAATCGAAGGGCTGTCATGAGAGATTTGATTGAACGGGAAGAATAGACGCACTCCCGAAAAGCAATCCAGCAATGGCCGAGAGGATTTCTCAGGGCATTGCAGAGGCGGATCCCCTCGCTCCCCCCCCCCCCGCCCCTAATTTTCGACAGTGCCCTTTTTTACTGCTGAAAGTGCCTTTTGTCAGACCCAAATATGTCCTTTCCCAACCCGTTGCAGGGATCCCAAATGACTCAAACCATCCACTCAAGCACACCAATCTGGTTTGAGGCTCTTTTTCAACGATTTCCGAACGTTTACTTAGACGAAAATATCATCCAAATAGCTCTTGGAATGGCTACAGATGCAAGGAAATGACGGATAATTTTCTTGGGGGATCCCCCCCCCCCCCAACTTAGCGGCGTGCCCCGTCTCCGCGGTCAGTGTGCCCTCATTTTGCGGCGCCCCCCATCCCCTTTTCAAATTTCCTAGACTCGCTCCTGCATTGCTTCAGGAATTATTATGCTCCCACAGAACACTACATGAAAGTAAGAACAATTTGTTAATTCGCGTCTCTTTGAACTGTGGGTAGCCATTTGCAGCGATAGAAAACCTGAATACCAACTGAAAAGAAACTCGTATGGCCCCTGCCGCCCCCTCCAAATTAAACAGTTCAGATCTTCATGTAGTGAAGGACATCGAAAGTATATAAAAAAAAAACACAACGAATTATAGATCTGTATTTTAATCAGATTGGACACATTCGAATATCCAGGCCAAGGTTTTACAGAAAAAGTATATACTTTGTTGTCTCCGGTTTTATGGTTTTTATAATTCTGCCATTTCAGTCGAGCTCTTCAAAAACTTGTATCCCCAGGAGGTTGGATCGATAAATCGATGACTACTGGTGCTAATGGAATGTTTGAACTTGTCAGAAGGGGGTAAGTAATGGAGACATATTTATAAGGAGCGCAGTATAATTAATGCACATAATAACCGTGAACATAATTAGATACGTATCATACAATATAAATATTCCAGTATAAAAAATGTAACGTGCCGTAATAATGGATTTAACGTCCACTCAACACAAAATAGGTCATTTCGAGACTAACATATAGTTCAATTTTATTTCAATAATTTGGTTGCGCGTAGGGGTATTTAGCAATGGGAGGAAACCGGATGACCCGGAGAAAATACACGAGGTTGGACAGACGACCCTACTCCTTGTCAGGTACAAGCGTGGAATAGAAATCATGCCACTTCATTCAATGACAGACTGTGTGGTTTCACGCGCACGCGTTTAACTACTAGACAACCCAGTATCCCTATCATTAATGAATACTGTTGTGATAATCTGGGCAACATTTGCATGTGTCATATAGATCATCCAGACACTTACACATATTGACCAATTGCTCTGGGTTGGACTTTGGTTAAATATTTTGTAAAAAGTATACAAATACCTTGTTATTATTGGACATTACAGCTCCCAACGTCTGCTTTTATTTCCATTGTAATTCACAGCTATAATATATATCTATAAAATTATTTGTTTCAGAATAAAAGACTGGAGAGTCGATGTAGATGGAACCCTACCTGAAGATTTGAAAAATAGAGGGGTTAGTTTCCATTTTACAACGACACCCAAATGTTTTAGTTACACCCTACCTGTTTTCATTGGTTATCATTTGCTCTAGCTACATAATACCTGTTTTCATTGGTTATCATTAATTGTTCTAGCTACATAACACCTGTTTTCCTTGGTTATCATTTGTTCTAGCTACATAATACCCGTTTTCATTGGTTATTATTCGTTTTAGCTACATAATAGCTATTTTCAAGAATAAGCTTTTATGATGATTTTACGTGTAGTTATTCGATTATATCAAGTTTAATTAATCGATTTTTGACTCCATTACAGGTTGAAGATGTGTGTGCTTTACCTAATTATCACTATAGAGACGACGCTTTACTTTTATACTACGCCATTAAAAACTACGTCACTAAATATGTTGACCTTTATTACGGTACGGTACATTTTTTATACTGGAATATTTATAATATACGTGTATAATTTTGTTCTCCGTTATTTACGGTGCATTTATTATACTGTGCGCCTTATAAATATGTCTCTAATTACGCTAACCGTTATTACCGTATGTTTTATTTATTATACCAGGCTATTTATAAATACGCGTCTAAGTACGTTCACCGTTAGCAACAAGAGGAGTTTGTTTACATTTTTTAGGGGTTTTAAAACTCGATTGTATCCGTTCAAAATGAACTCATCGGCAATATTTTGGTCATTTCTCCGCTTTACAACGACGCCAATAATTATGCAAGAGGAATGACCGGTCGTCCCACTTCGAGCGAAGAAAAATGAATAATTTCATTGAGAATTTTAAGAAATAGGACAGATTTAAGAATACGGTACTCTTCTTACAAAACGTCCAAATAAAGGTGTTCTAAAGTCCTTTATTGCTATTTTGATCTTTTGTGTCGATAGATAGTATATTTCGATTAGAATCAATATTTTCACTTTTTTTGTGTCTAGTTTAAAATTAGATAACGCGCATCCCGACTCATTTTGACATACCGAGTCACATATTACACTATCTCTCAAAATACGTCCACGTTTATTACGGTATGTTTTACTTATTATACCAGACTATTTATAAATACGCCTCTAAGTACGTTCACCATTATTATATTACACTATCAACAAAACACGTTTACCTTTATTACGGTACGTTAAATTGTACTAGACTATTTGTACATAAGGTGTCTGATAAAAAAAACCAAAAAAAAAACCAAAAAAACATACACCCCCCCACCCCCAGTCGCCTAGGTACATTACATTGATCACCTTAGGCCCTTTATTGGAATCTATTCGCTGCTAATATCGATAGACAGACGGAGTAGACAGACACGTATCTTTCTAGACAAAATCATTCTCTTTTGCTTTTTACAATTATATCTGTATACTTTAGTGCATCATAATCCCGATAGACTTTTAAAGTAATATGATTAAAACGATATCTTTATTTCGTTTCGGGTTTCATGCTTCTGATTTTCTATATTGGGTAAGATGTAGCATATTATGTCGAGCGGCTGTTGTTCGAATCGAAAATCACCTGGTTGTATAAATCAACTAGAGTGTTAACGAGATATAAAAAGCATATTTTATATATACATACCAATATAGCTGAACGTAATCAGCAGGGAGTTTTATCGCGAATTATAAACCAGAAACTTATCTCAAAAGTAAAACAATATTTACCATACTATAAAAGTTTTTTTCTTCCATCCGAAATACTACATGCTGTTCCTTGCCAGAAACTATATAGTCTAAAAAAGTATGGTGTATTCTAGAATGTTTCGAATATAACCGTTAGTTGCCAGTTTCTATTAAAGATGCATTATGTCCGAGCTAAATCTTTTTACTTCAAATATTATATGAATTTTTGATTAGACAATTATTCACGTGACAAGCCCATAATCAAATCTCTAGACCATCGGATGATTGTGATTTTGAATGGATTAACACATGATCGTCATTTAATAATTTAATTTAAAACTGTATAATCGAAACTTTGTTTATTATTGTAACAGCGGTAGCAATAAAAATCGAGACTACGTTATTCTTGAAACAGTCAGAATAGCTTTGCAAGTATATTCAATATATTCCCCTTTTCGTTATCTATTAGTAAACTATATATTATGGCGAGACTAGTGACACTTTATCTAAATCTTACATAATGCATGTTCAAGATTGTCGTTAAAAGCATATTCGATATTTTCCCTTTTCGTTATCTATTAGTAAACTATATATTATGGCGAGAACTATCGACACTTTATCTATATCTTACATAATGCATGTTTAAGATTGTCGTTAAAAGAATATTCAAAAATACTCCATGAAGAATATAATATAGAGGGTATCTTTTTTACATTATCGACGAAAGTTAATATTTGTGGATATAAAAAAGTCGAGTAGAATATTTTATTTTTCACCTAACCCTTTCTTACACACACAAATAAATAAATACAATTCTTTGGTATAGATGTAAAGCGGAGATATCGCTCAATAGAATATGAAAGTTGTAATACATTCAATATCTACTGTATTTCTTTAACCAAATATAAGCAATGTTAACTTTAAATAGCCATAAATTATGGTAATTGATTTACTAATTTGAATAAATTTTGGACCAGAATATATCTCATAAAATAAAAATAATTTTGATTGTGTATGGTCAAGAACTCCATGTAATTATTATTCTGGCATTTTGAGGCTCGGAACTTTTTCCCTTTAATTAATCACTTTATTGCACGTTTTTCTTGTAGATACCACAGAGAAAATAGACGGTGATTGGGAATTACAGAGTTGGGCGAAGGAGTTAAGCTTAGATAAAGAAAAGGGTGGGGTTGGGCTTCAGGTAACATTGATGTGCCCATTATGGTAATTTATATCTCAAAAGGTGGCTTGAAATTTTCTGTAACAGAAGCTCCCGTGGTCTTAAATATATCCATAGCATAACAACTCTGAAGAAACGTATCGAAGATGCTATGCAATTCATGTTTTCTGCCTGGTAAAAACTGCAGACACGAGATGGATTTCCTGATATTTTTAAAGATCCATGCCTGCAAACAAATTGTTGAACTACAATGTTTTATTCCCAAAAGGGGGGTGGATGGTCGAATGGTTAGCACGTGTGTGCTGTATCATAAGGCCTGTCATTGAGTCAACTGGCGTGGTTTCGAATCCCCGGTTGTACGTGACAAGGAGTAGGGTCGCTTGTCCAACCTCGTGGGTTTTCTCCGGGTCCTCCGGTTTCCTCCCACTGCTAAAGACCCCTACGCGCGAGCGAATTATTGAAATAAAATTAAACCACAGGTTAGTCCCGAAATGACCTAGTTTGTGTCGAATAGACGTTAAACCCCATTTCTTTCTCTCTCTTTTATTCCCAAAATGAATGACCTAAGTTACCAGTGAGTGGACGGTAAACCCCATTCTTTCGGGATTATATTGCATTATAAATGTTGTGTTTCACGGTGTATTATAAATGTCGTGTTTCACAGTGTACCTAATCGCGGTGTATTATTATATTATAAATGTTGTTTTTCAGGGTGTACCTAATGGCGGTGTATTGAAGTGTAAAGAAGATATTATACTAGTTATAAACTGTGTAATATTTAACTGTAGTGTTACACATGCTGCTGCTAACTTTCTACAATACGAACAATACGCATTCCCTGCCAATTACCCGAGTTTGATGAGAGGCAGCCCACCTAAAACAAAGGTAAAATACAAAACAAATTCTCTTGACTTTCAACATTTAAAGATACATTATGGGGGATTAGATAAAGAGCTGGTAGTTCCCACTATTATAGTTAAAAACTCAATACCGTAAAGGGAATTTGCTGAAAATTTCAGTCAAATTAATCCACCATGAACCGAGATTTTAGCATTGAACTTTCGGCCTAGCCTCGATCATCATTACTGAAGTCGGTAGGATAAAAAAAAAACCATAGTCTCGATTATCCATTTCATGATTTAATTATGAATGGAAGTTGAACAGCAAATTTGCAACCTAATCTAATGAACATCGCAGGCTAGCGATGCCATCGAGAGTTGATTATGGTCTGGATAAGTTAACTAATGTCTAATTAATAATTTAGATAACATTTCAGGTCTAAAGAAAGACTTGCAATAGATCTTACATAATGTATGTTTAAAGATGTATTATGTGGAAGTTAATCTTGTCTATGGCGGGTCTTTTTTTTTGGGCGGGGGGGGGGGGGGGCTTCAAATGCTATAACAACTATTAATTAGACATTTATACACATGACAACCCGTAATCAACCCTCTAGATCATCAGAAGGCCCCGATTTTTATTTTGATTGAAACACGATCGCCATTTAGTAATTTAATTTAAAAATAGATAACCAAGGCTATGTTTATTATAGCAAAAATGGTAGCATTGAAATTCGAGACTATGGTATTTTTATCGAAACTTCAATCAATCATAACTTCGCTCTGAATAAAGTAATTTGACTGAAATTTGCAACATAATATTAAGTTTTCATTATCTATTTTTAAACTGTTATAGCAAGAACGGGCAGCTCCTTATGTAATTCTTACATAACTAAAACACAAATAATTATTAAAACTATAAAAATGTGTTTTAATCAGATTGTTAAGATCAGAATCTAACATTTATTACTTTTATTTTCTTCCATTGTTTAGGATCCCATTGAGGAGAAGAAAGTAATAGAATATTTACCGGATAAACGCACAACTCTAGATGTTATGGTCGTTACTAAAATATTAAGTGGTCGAGGTACCAATTGTCTTGGTGATTTTGAAGTTCAGTATGTTTTTGATCCTAAAGCCGTGGACATAGTGAATCAGTAAGTAACCGAAGTGTTTAGATCTTTTACGGGCTCAGACTAACATAGTAGAGAACACGGAGAACCCCTCTTCTTCATTGCAAACCCCGCGATACAGTAAACTGCAAGGGCAGCAACTCTACTTGGGAGAAGGATCCAGACTAGCATAATACGGAGACAGAAGAACGCGGCATACGATTTAGATCAAAAGGCCAGTCTGTGAATCGAGTGACTGGTTTCAATTCCGAGATTATACGTGACAAGGGATAGGGTCGCCTGGTTTCCTCCGGTTTCCTCCCACTCCTAACGACCCCTACGCATTGAAATCAAATTGAAATGAAAATGAAATGAAATGGGGTTTAACGTCCCACTGTTCTGCTCCTAATGAAGACGGGCATACGCCATACAGTGTGCTATGAGGGAAATTTTGCCCGGGCAGCGGCACTATCGCCTACTCTTATATCGAATTCCAACTGCCAATGGATCTTTTACGTGCATTCCAATATATACACGGGACCTCGGTTTTTCGTCTCATCCGAAGGACTAGACAGCTGTCCTTGTCAGGCCCTCCGTTCTGCACCACTGACAAGGGGAAACCACGTCGGAAAATCCCGATGAACTTTCTCGGCCAATGCAGGGATCGAACACCCGACCACCAGGCTAGCGAGCCAGCGTCTTAACCACCTAGCAACCGTGGCTCCCTAAATCAAATTGAACCGTTTATTAAGTCTCGTAATTATCTAGTTTGTGTTGAGTAGACGTTAAACCCCATTTCTCTCTATTGAAACGTTTAAAGGAGGTGTCCGTTTAGAATTTAATAGGCCTAGGATTTAACATGTCAATTCATTTATAATGGTTAGTTATATTTAACGATTCTCTTTCAGGTTTCGAGCGGATTTAAAAGTTATCAGTCAAACCATCAAAGACAGAAATAAAACGAGGAAGCATAAATATGATATTTTAGACCCAGAACTCATTCCAAACGCTATCAGCATTTAAAACAACCATTCTTTATAATAGTCTAATATCAGTTTCTCTGCTAATTCCTATCAACTAGTCATAGGAGATACTCGATTGAACGTCCCGTAATTGAATTTTCACAATCCCGACTCTAGAGAGAATCGACTGCATATTTCGTCAAGGTCACGAGGTGTAAACAGAGTTAGAACACTTGATTGTTGCCGAGGATTGTGGGTTAGAGCTAGGGTTAGGGCTAGCGCTAGCCCTGTCTACAACTCTCGACCTTGATGAAATCTGCAGGTGGCCTTTATATTTAGACCAGACCGTGAAAGGGGGAATGTTCGGCTACACGCATGCTTGAATGCATAAGAACATATCTCCAGCCAGGACAGCTGAAACATATTCGTTGTGTTTAATTACGTCATGATTCTTCTCACACCACCTCCGTGTGACTGGGCTGAATTCTGGGCTGACGTTCCGGACTGACAATCGAGCATTCCCATGATTCAGTTGCCTACGCTACGTTTGTTGGATAAGAATGTGTTCTTGCTACAAATGAAGTTCTCAGCATCCTTTTATGTATTTTTGTCAGCTAATTTTATGTATTTTTGTCAGCTAATTTTATGTAGTTTAAACCCAATTTTACTGTTTTAACTGGTAAAAGGACACAACTTGGCTTCTAATATCTATTTTATTTTTAAATCCTTTTCATTTCAATTTCGTGTCACTTCCCAGGAATTGGAATCCCATAAAATCGACTGTATTTAAAGAATACTAATTTAAAATTTTAACAAAGAATAGAATTCTCAAGTGACAGATTTACCGCTTGAATATATTTCTATGTTAAATTATATTTTTATATTTTGTTATCTTTTATTGTGTTAAATTTTGGATTATTCTACTAACCCTAACGCAACTCTAGGGGAAGGATTATCCCAATCATTTATGAATAAAATATTGTTTATATAATTGTTTTTTTTTATTATTATTATTTTACAAACTAAATATTGTACAGCACAGTTGAATCTGTCGTTCACTTTTTTTGTTAATTGCTTCCAATGTCTGTGCTGTCTGTGGCTTGTCCGCAATTTTGTCTTGTGTGTGGTTGCCTGCGCTTACTAGTAATAGCCACGGGATAGTTTGTGGTCTGATGCCGAAAGGGATTGTTCGCAATGAGTCTGCAACAAATGAATATTTGTGATACCAATTTGCTCGCTGTTATTGTCAGTTGAACCATTTCATAATTATAATTCGTTAAACCCGTAACAAGTAACTCGCAGTCGTTGCTTCAGGAACATGAGTCAATTTATGATAAATTTAGGACAACCTAAAAGAAATTGCAACAGAAGATTTCTTGGTACCATTGAGTTCGTGGGACCATCCTATACAACATATCCAAAGTTCTCTGATTTTTGGACCAGGAAAAGGGTATAATTTTAATAAATTCAAAATGGCCACTAAACATAACTTTGGAGCCTCATAACACCTTGAGTTTTCGCCTATAAATGTATTACAGATATAAACATGGCCCCTGCGAGTCAGAAATATCATAAATCAATGACGTTATTTTGGAGAGAGCGAGAGAGAGAGAGAGAGAGAGAGGTGGGGTTTAACGTCCACTCGACACAAACTAGGTCATTTCGGGACTAACATATGGTTCAATAATTGTATTACAATAATTCGCTGCAGCGTAGAGATCTTTATAGCTGTGGGAGGAAATTACTTAATACATGTTTAAAATAGTTTCCTGTAACAGAATAATATACCATTCATAATTAACAAAAAAAATTCCCGTTCTTTTATTAGAATTTTAAATCTAATATACCGCCATAGAACACGACTTACTAAATAGATCAAAACAATTTTTTGTGAACTGTGTGTTGACACATTAGTGATTAATTCATCACAATACATTACGAGAAGGCTTAGAGTCTGTACACAGTCTATACATCAGTATCTGGTCTGTCCACCGCGGATAACAGGAGTGGACCAGACGATTGATGAACGCCATTGGCACCTGGAACCACACCCTCATAAAAGCCTGGCGCAATCCATCGGCTGTGTTTAGTCTCGATACGACGTTATTAAGTCCCGACTAAGGGCTTGCCAGTGCATAACGTTGACACCGTTCTGCTGTAGAAAGTCCCGAGTAACTCTGGCGGTGTGGGCACGGGCGTTGTCATGCTGGAAAACGTTGTTTCGATGACGTGGGGTCTGAGCGCTTGATCGATGTAGCGCATTGCTATGATGCACTCCCTGGGCCAAGATATTGGAACACCACAGGACCCACTCTCTGGTTCAGGCCGATTCCACCCCAAACCATTATATTTGGACCTCCCCATAAGTCTCGATCCATGATACATTGGCCAGAATAACGCTGGCCACGTCGACGCCATATTCTGGTCCTGACATCTGCAGTTGATACGCAATACCGACTCTCACCTTTGAACAGAACAGTTCTCCATTGCCTGTGTCACCAGTTCTGGTGTTGTTGGGCAAACTGTAGACGTTCACGTCGATAGTGAGGGGTGAGGATCGGTCCACGGTAAGGTCTACGGCAATGGATGTTCTCTTTGGTGAGACATTGGCGCACTGTATCTGTACTGGTGGGTCTTCCGTGTGTTGCCACTGTCTGATGTGCTGTCTCAGAAGCCTGTGTGAAGGGAATCTGCACGTGCTGTCGCCTTGTGGTAACCCTTGGTCTGCCAGTTCGGGGGCGATCATCCGTAGTGTTGGTTGCTGAATCCTGTAGATGGTCCAAACATTCACCTGGAAGTGATTGGCAACGGCTTGGGCAGTGTGGCCAGCGTCGAGTCTTCCAAGCGCCTGGTTCCTCAGAGATGTCGTGAGTCGTGGCATGCTGCTGACGTTGTAGTGTGAATGATTCAACCAGGTATGGGGGTGAATTTTATAGGGCTGGTCTAGGTGAACAGCAAGTGTTGCATGAGTTACATGAAAATCACGGAGAACACATTACCATCTCGGAAGTCAGGTGGTTGCGTTTTTGAGAACATTTCCTGGGTCAATTCTGTGTTTGTGAAGGGGCCTTATTGCTCAGGTAAAGTTGGAGATGTGGTCACAAATATACAATAAAAACATTTGGCAAGTTTTATGCAATGCGTCTGTAGCAGGAGGATCGCATGATCTACTCCAGGTCGGGGTTGCTCATAAACAATTGAAACCAATTAACAACATAACGGTTTATTCCAGTATAAAATACACATTTTACACATAAACAAACCACTGAAAAGACACAAAACGATTATTTATAAAAGTGAGTTATTAAATGAGGTATATATTCTACTAATTACTAATAGATCATAAATCAAGTTATAATATAAGTACTATATTATGTATTAAAATATAAAGACTATCTATTTACATTTTATCCGTTATAACAAAGATATCAAACATACCCTAAGTCAGGTGCTTTTCAGGCAAATAAAGATGACTATATAGTTGTAAACTTAATAGAAAACACAATTAGGAACACTACAAAACAATTAGACATCACAATTAACAAGACAATATATTTAATCAATATTTACTTATGAAATATATAGTTATCTAGTTTCTATTAACTTGCTAATAATTAATTTACTAGTTTAGAATTATTTATATAGTTTAAAATGTCTAGTCCAGTCAAACAAATATTAAACCTACCTTGAGAGAGAGAGAGAGAGAGAGAGAGAGAGAGAGAGAGAGAGATGGGGTTTAACGTCCACTCGACACAAACTAGGTCATTTCGGGACTAACATATGTTTTTTTTAAATTTTATTTACACAATTCGCTTGCGCGTAGGGGTCTTTAGCAGTGGGAGGAAACCGGAGGACCCGGAGAAAACCTACGAGGTTGGACAGCCGACCCTACTCCTTGCCACGTACAACCGGGGATTCGAAACCACGCCAGTCGACTCAATGACAGACTTTATGATACAGCGCGCGCACGCTAAGCATTCAGCCATCCAACCCCCCAAAACCTAACTTGAAATAAATGATTAGTTATGCTGTAATTAATTAAAGATGTTGACAGGTGGCCAGAAAATAAAAGAGTGAAGTTATTAGTAACTAGGAACTAGGATCAACAAAGCAGGTTTCCAAGATACTGAAATCTACTCACTATCTTAAAATAGCATCTTCAAACTATAAACTAAAGTAATTATAACCACTGGAAATAAAAGACTAGCTGGATGTACAGGACAATGGAAACTGGCTAAAATATTAAAACAGAATATAATACCCTACTAAAATATTTAAAAAGAATATAACACCCTCCTACACGTCTATTCAGAGTAACACACCTTAACCTGGTGTTTCTTTTGCTGCTTAGTATAATAAAACGTCATCACGATTTCACATTAATGTATCAAGTTACAGTCGTGGAAAATATAATCAAGCAATATGAACATGATAAATGATCGGGAAAAATAATTATGTCCTTGAGCACAGTAACATTATACACTATTATTATTATGGCACTACAACATTAAAGACCAGCTGCGTTCGGTGGCATTGTCCTTGTTCAGTCTCTATTCCAATACTTTTAAAATGTTTCCTATACGGGCCTGCTGCAACATTGTGTACTCCAGAGTAAAAAAAAGAAAAAACCAAACCCCAAGTAATTATAATCTCACTTAACATTAAGGTACCTCCCATATGTCACCTAAAATTAAGTGGATATTTAATCTCGCTTAAACTGGCATTTGAATACCACTAAAAGACTAAACATTTATGTGTTAATGCAACTTACATGTTAAGGCAACCTTAACACAGCATTTGAATACCATTTGGTTGTTGTCCAAATCTCGTAAGTAGACTGATTAACCGCTTCCTGCTTATAATTAGTTAACGGATGCCTGACAATAATTGGTGTAGATTCTCGCATGGAGGTTGAACTTCATATCTTTTATCCTTGTATGAAATGGTTTCTATGAACTCCTCATACACCGACTTGGGCGTGATTCCGATTGACTCTAGATCCCCAAATCTGTGGAACTCCCTTTCAAGGTTATGTTTTATGGAAGTGGATGACTGCGTCTCGCATCTAAGTACTGTACATGCGTACCTACTAAATGGCTGCCCCTTTGAACTTGTCCTACATCACCAGAAGGTATGGGTCCAGACAATACCCATCTAAGTTCTGTTTGACGAGCAGTAAGGCCATCCTCCCCAATATTACATCCCCGGTAACAAAGTTCCAGTTCTGGTCTGAACAGATCAAAAATATGTACATGTATTTGGTAATACCCATCTAAGTTCTGTTTGACTAGCAGTAAGGCCATCCTCCCCCGTATTACATCCCCGGTAACAAAGTTCCAGTTCTGGTCTGAACCGATCAAAAATATGTACATGTATTTGGTAATACCCATCCAAGTTCTGTTCGACTAGTTGTAAGGCCATCCTCCCCGTATTACATCCGCGGTAACAAAGTTCCAGTTCTGGTCTGAACCGATCAAAAATATGTATTTGGTAATCACCATCTGTTAAAGAATAATCTGCTAAGTTCAACTGTGATAGATGAGAATACTTTTGACATACTTTGAAAATGACAGGTCCGTGAATGTCTGACAAATGAAGCGCACCGTGAATGCTGAGAATTCTATTATACTACCATCGGTGGCTCTAAAAGAAAGTGTTTCATTCCTAAATCCAAACGTCTTAATAATAACTGACTGATGTGGCTCAGACGAAGAGAATCCTTGACAGTAAGTAACGTAGGATTTCTGACACCCGCTTCTCTTTGTATTCAATGTTCTGTTTGGGTTGAATGTCAGTTTGAAGCAAAATTGGAGTAGAGGATACAGGCCCATATAGACCAGTATATTAACTTCAACTCGAATCGCCCTATTAGATCAAAACTGGTATTATAGCAACACTGACCAAATGAGCCAAATCTGTGTGTGATACAGACAAACTAAAAAAA